CCTGCTGGGTAAAGCCACAAGGAACCCGAGAATGGGCTCCCACAGGACATACAGAACATCCCACAGCAGGGTACCTTTGACATGATTTTCCGTATATGGATATTGAATTCAAGAGAACTTCTTCATAAAATGTATTTTGTCAAATGGGTCAACGGGGCTAAATTATTGCAACAATGGCATTAAAAACAATATCATAAATCCTTATACATAAACGTAGAAAAGGCTTCAACACAATACATATAACTTATACGTGATTAAGATGTATAAACTCATTTATTTAGAAATATATGCATATATTCCTAGTCTTGCTCAAGGTATTGTACCTATACAGTTCATTTAACAATGTAATGCAAATTGCTAATCCTTGAAAGTTATTACCAACTAATTAGGATATAAAGAAATGCAAGTTAGTATTTGCTGTGGGACGGTCTGTATGTCGAATTGCTCTGATTGGTCAATAAATAAAACACTGGTTGGCCAGTGGCCAGGCAGGAAGTAGGTGAGACAAGGAGAGAGGAGAATTCTGGGAAGCGGAAGGCTGAGGCAGAGAGACACTGCAGCCGCCGCCATGACCAGCAGCATGTGAAGATGCCGGTAAGCCACCAGCCACGTGGCAAGGTATAGATTTATGGAAATGGATTAATTTAAGCTATAAGCACAGTTAGCAAGAAGCCTGCCACGGCCATACAGTTTGTAAGCAATATAAGTCTCTGTGTTTACTTGGTTGGGTCTGAGCGGCTGTGGGACTGGCGGGTGACAAAGATTTGTCCTGACTGTGGGCAAGGCAGAAAACTCTAGCTACAAGTATTCATCACCTATTATCAAGCTTGTAGTCAGGTTAGGTTTGTTTTCATGGTCAGAGATATATTTTAGATATACAGGTCATCTTCAAACACTTCAGAGATCTATAGAATATAACATTTAAAATATTTTAATAACAGATTATTTTTTTAATGACAATGAGACATGTCTGCTCTTGGCAGCACCAATCTACTTCAGAGAAGATGATAAGCATTGAAGAAACTCCTTATGGAATTTACTTTCATTGTGGCAAGCTAGCCAGTGGGCAAAAAGTACCCTTGCCCTGACTGCTGACAGTGTGCTGTCCAAAATGGACAAGCAGGACACAAAATAATGGACTGCCAATCCTTGCCAAGACAATGTAGGACAGCCCTTTAGAAAATCCTGCTTCACAGATGAGTCTGTTGGATATGCTAGGCCTGTAGGCGAAAGATTGATGCTCCAATGTTGCAGAGAAATCTTGGGTGACTGTTGAGACAGCCAACTGCTTTTATCATTTCTCATATTTTTTGGAAGTCGCTTGCCTTCACTTCCTATTTACTTAGTTAATATTGTTCCCTTCTGTGGTCTCTGAGGGAGTTGAAAATTAGATAGTTATAGTTATAGTTTTCCTTGTGAACAAATTCAGAAAAGAAACTCGCTGAAGAGGTGTAAAGTGTATAAGATTGAAAGACGTCAAAATATATTCTTGATTGGTAATACAAGTTAGGATAGAAAATGAATTAGGTACATTTTTGACTCACCAAGATAGGATAAACAATGGAGCATTTTCTCTCAATTTGTCACATGTTTATGGACTGGACATTGTTAATGTAACTCTTGATTATATATATATATATATATATATATATATATATATGTATGTATATACTGTACTTATCGTATATAGTTTTTCTTATATTAGTTATAACTTTCTCTTATTGTTTTAGACAAAAGGGGAAATGTGGTAATATATTGCGTGCCCTAATAAACTTGCCTGAGGATCCAAGGACAGAGCAAGCCACTAGATTAGACATAGAGGACAGACAGTGTTGGCACACATTCTTAATCCTATCACTAGGGAGGCAGAGATCCATCTGGATCTCTGTGAGTTCAAGACCACACTGGAAACAGAGCTAGGCAATGGTGGCACACACCTTTAATTCCAGTACTTGGAAGCACACACACCTTTAATCCCAGGAAATGATGGCAGGGCATAAAAAGGTATATAAGGAGTGAGGGAACAGGAACTCACTTTCTTTAGGCTGAGGATTTCATAGAGGTAAGTGTTGCTAGAGTTTTCCGCCTTGCCCACAGTCAGGACAAATCTTTGTCACCCGCCAGTCCCACAGCCGCTCAGACCCAACCAAGTAAACACAGAGACTTATATTGCTTACAAACTGTATGGCCGTGGCAGGCTTCTTGCTAACTGTGCTTATAGCTTAAATTAGTCCATTTCCATAAATCTATACCTTGCCACGTGGCTGGTGGCTTACCGGCATCTTCACATGCTGCTGGTCATGGCGGCATCTGGCAGGCAGTCCTTCTGCCTTCCTGTCCTTTTATTTCTCCTCTCTGTTAGTCCCACCTATCCTTCCTGCCTAGCCACAGCCGATCAGGTTTTATTTATTGATCAATCAGAACAACTTGACATACAGACCATCCCCCAGCACAGCCAAGTGCAGACCATCTCAGACACCTGCACTCAGGCCCATGGTCCTAATCATCCTCTATGGGGACCTGCTGGGTAACGCCACAAAGAACCCAAGAAGGGCTCCCACAGGACATACAGAACATCCCACAGCAGGTAAGAGATAGTGACTGGCTGTTCTGCTCCTCTGATCTTTCAGCTTTCACCCTGATATCTGGCTTTGGATTTTTTATTAAAAGACCATCTAAAATTCAAACAACAGATGAGTCATAGATTAGTCAAGACCATTGAGGAAGGCCATGACTCACATTCGTTGTTATTGGTCAAATCTGTGTGCTCTTTTGAAGTAAATTTCTTTTCACTTAATTAAAGAAAATGAAGAACTGTGGAAGTTTGTATAATTTCATTGCTCATGACATCACATCTTACTCTGTGGTATAGATTCCCCTAGTGAGAAGATGTGACTCTGTCCAGGTTTGCAGTCTATACCATCATTGCTGTCCAGTTTTACAGGCTGGGGATTGTGGGTTGCTTCCTTCTGGGTTTTTATTTTTTTCTTTTTTTCCCTTTTATTTTATTTTACAATACCATTCAGTTCTACATATCAGCCATGGATCCCCTTGTTCTCCCCCATTCTGCCCCCTCCCCTTCCCCCTAGCCCACCCCCCATTCCCACCTCCTCCAGGGCAAGGCCTCCGCCGAGGACTGAGATCAACCTGGCAGACTCAGTCCAGGCAGGTCCAGTCCCCTCCTCCCAGACTGAGCCCTGCACAAGCCCCAGGTTTCAGACAGCCAACTCATGCAATGAGCCCAGGACCCAGTACCACTGCCTGGATCCCAAACAGTGTGTGCTTTCCTATGACTGTTTGGTGAGAGGACAAGAAATAGAGAAAAATAATTGAAAGGTGGCACAGATCACGCGAGTATTTCCAAAATGGTTAATCCTATGAGGTGAAGAATCAGTGTGCAGGTCACATCTACCTTGAGAAGGTAGAGTGTCCATGTGGATTTAGATCGCCTTCACTCTCCCTAGCAGAAGTAATAGCTTTCCTCAATTATTTTCTGATGTTATTTCTTTATTGAAAATTTCCCTACATTTTGCAGTGGTTTCATTCCCAATTAATTCTCCCATTGAGTTTTGAATCTTCAGGAAGAAGATAAATACCTGGAATACAGATGTTCATGACAGCTTCTCAAATTCTGTTTTTAGACAGAGATAGATTAGAGACAAAAGGCAAAGATAAAAGGTACTGGTATGTAGGAGAAAGGACGTATTATCAATATATCATTTTAGAGGTCTATTTGAAACAGTAAGTTAGTATTTTTGCTTCACTTTGGGATACTGGGACAAAGTCTCACTATGTAGTCCATAAGTTCTTGAACTTGTGATGACAGCCTCCTGCCTCAGCCTTCCAAGGGTAAGAATTATGAATGTACTATGCTACGTTTATCTTTTTGTTCCTATTTGCCATAGCCAGCATAAGAAGATTCTTCCTGGAGGATATAAAGCAGTTTACCAGGTGTGAAGCTGATGACAAAGTAAACCTCATTTCCTATGAAAGGAATGATTGAGCCAAGAGACAGTGAGAAGGTTCTCCCAGCATGGCAGGTACCCAGTTCTGTTTACTCGTGGTTGTAGCTGAGATACCTCAGTGTGTCATATGATTGCACATACCATTTCATGCTATCACCTTTACATCTCTGACAATGACTATTCCATGTTAGCTTTAATTTATTGTTAAGATATTTAAGGCAGAATCACCTTGTTTTGAAATTTTTCCTATTGTTTAACTCATTTCCCAAATTATAGCATTTATTTCTTAAATGTTTGATGTATTGAATTATATGAATTAATGCTGTGCATTAATAGGTTTTCTGATAACCCAATAATAGGTTTCTCCCCTGACTCAGTAAGGCAGATCAAGCCGAATTAAAAAGTAAAAGACCAGTTTATTTGGGCAAAGCAACTCCCAAGTGACACATCAGCCCCCAGAGATCCAGGTGTGAGAAGGCAGCAGGAGAGAAACCACATGGCCAATCTAAGGTAGGGAGCTTAGATGCCCTGTAAGTGCAGGGGTGATGACGTGTCCACCACAAGCATGATTTGTGCCCAATTTTGGTATGCTTTTAGGTGGGGTCTTGGGCTGCTGGCAACTTCAGGGAAGGAGCCACCAAGCCACCGAGAATTCGAAACTGGGCTTTTTGGCGGTCTCTGAGAGGGCAGAGTTTGGGGAGAGGAAGAGAAAGAGAAAAATGAGGGCTTTTGCAGGAGCAAGCTGGAATTTCCAGACAAACATGTATAAATAAATTTTACATGAAATATGGGATTATATGTATACATATATACTATAAAAATAATTATAAAATTGTCTGATTTTTTTCATTACTTTAATAATTATTTGAGAAAATTAGCTCAACACTAAGATAACTTTTAGAAAATTAAAGAAATGACTTAAAGAAATTTAAAAATCCTAGTTACTCTGAAGAATTAACTTTCATGTCACACAATGCCAACTTGATCTCACTTCTCACTTGCCTAGTCAGTTTTCTACTTTCAGAGAACATTTGTCTCTTTGTAGTTTTTCAGAGTTTCCTCATTCTTAATTGAGAGGGGGACCTGACAGTTTTTGTATGAGTTTGAACGTGTACCTCTATCGATCTGTCATTTCTGCTCTCATCCTTAGCTTCGTCATTCCATTTCTGTTACAAAGAAAGACAAAATTAAAAGATATATTTAAATACTAAGATGGCAAGAGAATGATGAATTCAGGGGAAGCTATGGAGGATGTAAATGGAACATTTGTTTTCTGGGTCTATCTATATGGCCAATATATGTCAACATTGTGTGACAGAAAAAATAATTTGGGGTATGCATTTTGTTATCAACCAAGAAACACTTTGTAACATTTAAGGTTTTCCATTATATGAATGTCATTGTTAGAAAAAAACTTCAGAGTTGAAGGATTCTGTTTGGGGAAGTTTTAAAATTATGTAATGCTGGCACAAGACCCAGGGATGTCAACATTTTAAGCTAAAGGGGGGATTTTTAATAGATTCTAAATTTGTTCCTTCATTTAGATGGGAATCTTTGTCTGATACCATTTTTTAAAAACAAACAAATTCATGTTGTACATATATCTTGATTGTCCAGCTTCCCTAATATGTGAGATTGTCTACACAACATTACACTAGGTAACACAAAGAACAGTTGATGGCATCCACTTATTTCTTTATATCAAAACTATTCAGTTTTCCTGTTACTGACCAGGATCTTTTCAAGGAACAGAAGGAACTCCAAGGTATAAGACATATATGGCCCCCAGCCTCTAAAAGCTGACTGGCCTGTGCCTTGTATTTCAGAGTGCTTCGTTAAGCCTTCCATCTTCATAGATGGACAATGTGAAAAACTGACATTTCCCACAAATCAGTAAGAAAGGCAAAAGTACTCACTCCTTATTTATAATTTGCACTTGGTCTTGGGAAGTATTTTTATTTAAAGAGAAAAAGTCTAAATGTGGTCAAATAAAATTGAGTAGCATATAGAGTTGCTGAATTTGGGAAAAAAGAAGAACATGTAATCAACCATCCATAATTATGAACACTTTCTTCAAAACACAGATTCAATGCCAAAACTCTCCTTATTCTTTCTCTATGCTTATTTTCAACACTCATGCCCATAAGAGCTTTTAATAGTTTTACCACTTGTCAGATACCTTGTTGAAGAAAGTGCTGATGTCCTCAGATGTAAATGCTTTGCATGTAACCGAAGAAGAGTTTTTTCTCCTAGGATGATAACATAGTTTTATTTCACATTGATACTGTCTTACATTTGCATCGGGATTAAATACATGCTACTTTTTTTTTTGGTTTTTCAAGACAGGGTTTCTCTTGTGTAGCTTTGCACCTTTCCTGGAACTCACTTGGTAGCCCAGGCTGGCCTCGAACTCACAGAGATCC